CCTTGAGCAAGTTACCTGACGGCTCTGAGCCTCACTGTTGTTGTCTCGAAAACGGATGAGCAGTGACAAGCTCCCAGGGCTGTTGGGAGGACTAAGGGAAGTGCTCACATAGTAGGTGCCCGGCACACAGTAGGTGCTTGGCACATAGTAGGTGCTCAGTAAACTGCATTTTTTTGTTCTTCAGTGTTTATTGGTCTAGTGATGCCAGGTTCCATCCCGTCCAGCCCGGATGGCGGGTCCTGCCGGTGATACCTGAGTGACTCTATTGTAAAGACCCCATTCCTTCACCCAGTCAGGGCTCTACAACTCTCACTGACTATGCGCTGCAGCCACCCCATCAGTCTCCACCTCAGCTGGCCCCCTTTCTCCTGCACCTGGAAATTCGTGGTCATCACAGACTGGCCACGCTGGGGATGAAGGAAACGCCCGGGCTCCGAGGGAGGGAGGCTGAGGCTAGGACCTCGGGGAGGACACGGTCACTGACATGCATAGGGTGGGAGTTCCTTCCAGGAGGAGGGAGCAGTGCTAAGGCTCTGAGGTAGGAAAGAAGAAGCAGGATGGGGAAGGTGGGGCAGGGCTCGCGGCAGGGAAGACGCTGGGTCCCGTGGGTCCTCCAGGACAGGTCGCATTTCTCCCTGAAGGCAGTGGGAGCCACAGGTGTTTTCAGAGGCTTGGTGTGGTGATTGGATGTGCGCCCGCCCGGGGAAGGTCCCTCTGGCGGGGGCTGTGCAGTGGGGCACTGGGGTGCGGGAGGTGGGACACCGTGAGGGTGTTCTGCAAGCCATGCGGGGCGCCTTGAGCTGGGGAGCCCAGGCGGGGGCGGGGAGGGAGAATTCCCAGCACCTGGCCACAGCTCCCGGGGCGCACCTGCAGAGGGCTCCACACCCACCCCCTGGGAGCTCTCCGAAGACACACCATTTCTTTTTCTCCGTAGCCACAGGACCTAGCAGGGGTCTGGCCCTAGAGCCCGACATTTACTGCACAAATAAAGGCAGTGAGAGCTCAGCGTGGCCTTGCATCTGCCAGTCTGGAGCCACCCTCACAGCACCGTCACCAAGCAGATGGGCGGTGACCTGGTATTTCCTCGTCCCAATTAAGGTATAATTACTGAGCCTCTTCAACCTCATTTCAGCTCTAGAAACGTTTGGGGGATGGAACGGTTAATCCCAGGGCCTCACGGCTGCAGGGGCTGCGTCTAGAAGGCGGGACCTCTCTGGAAGCACAAGCATCCGCAGTCCAGGTCTCGGAGCTCCCAGTCTGAGGGGTGTTGCTTTAGCACAACCTTATCCCCCTACGTTCAGGTTTGCGTTTTTCTGATTGGCCGAGGGGTGGAATGTGCTAGAGCGACGGGAGGGGGTGCTTTGTGATGAAGACAGGGTAGCTGCAGAGGGAGAGAGCCGGAGAAGGAGTCTCATTTTAGCCACTGCCTGGCGGGGCGGCACCCGAGACGGTTTCCTGCTCTGTAAGCGGGGCACAGGCAGAGCCTTCGGGCCGCTGCTGACCTGAAGGCACCAGGCCAACCACGAAGATGTCCTGTGAATGAAGACCAGGAGTGGGTTTCCTCTGATCTCCAGGGAACGGCACCCACTGGGGGGACAATCGGCACCACGGGGCCCCAGCCTCTGGAGCCTCTGCCCACGTCAGTGCTCAGGTTTCGGTGGAAGGGATTCTGTCCCCAGTGAACCAGGGAGAGCCTGGGGTCCGCAACTTGACCCCTTCTGGGGGTGTGGGGTGAGGAGGGTGCCGGGGCTGCTCTGGTCAGGTTCTCCACTGAGAAGCTGAGACTGGAGGCCTTAGTTTAGGGGGCTCAGAACAAGGGTGGGAGAAGTCTGTGCAGGGCACCCCATGCCAAAGCAGGGCCAGGCATACCCAGGGTCCCCCTGGAGGGAAGCTGAGCCCAAATCCTAAGTCCGAGGCACCTGGGCCTTCCGCGTGTGGGCTGCAGGGCTGGGAGGGGAGGAAGGCAGCTCGGAGTGAGCAGCCCCCGGGTGCCCTGCAGCGGCCACAGCGCACGGGAGTGGGGCTGGGCCAGTCTGCCTTCGCGAGGTGTAGGATCCCAGCTCGGGGCTCCAGGAGGGGGTCTGCACCAGGCGTCGTCAGACCCATACAGAAGCCCGCAGATGGGAGGGCATCAGGGCACATGTGAGGACGTGCCTGGGGCTCAGGGTCTGGGGCTGGTGCCCTGTCAGCCTTCAGCACGTCAAGTGTGCAATGAACATACGATGCCCCCAGTTCAGCTCAACAAGCACTCTTTGCACACCTACTATGTGCTCGGTCCCTGCCCCGTTCCTGCAGTTAGAGGGGTTTCCCTGGGCCTGGCCTTTCTGGGTAGAAGCTGCCCGCTTGGACCTGGACAACATGACGTCGTGCGCAAAGCAGGTCTTCATATCCGGGCCAGTCCAGTCAACCTGCCAGCCTCCAAGGCCTCCTAACGAGGGCACTCCCCCACACACGCAGCAGGTCTGGAGTGGAGGCTTCCTGTGGGCCCAGATGCAGCGCAGACCCAGCGACAGGATGGCTCTCATGCTGGGGGCACCCAACCCCACCAGAGATATGGGACGATCGGTTCTACTCTAAGATGTAGAATGGAAACATTGCAAATTCTCATAGGCACGCACAGGCCGAGGAAGCGGATGTACCTTTCCACGTTAGCCAAACTCTTGCTCTGGAGTCGAACGGAAGGAACGTCTATGTCAGTGCATGAGCAAGGCGGATGCCTTTAATGAAATCGGCACCTGAGCTGGGCAGCATCTGACCGTCGCCCGCTCCTCTCACCCCATCCTGTCCTGCTCTCGTGAGCTCATCTGGGCATCCCGGACTGGCGGTGTTCTGGGGAGACAGCTGTGAGCACGTGTGCATGGCATCAACTGGGTCTGCACTCCTGGCCCTTCCAAAATCTAGTACAGGTCAATACCTGAGCCAAGACTGATCTGAAATTAATGCAGGATCTCCTTTTCAGGAATTCTTAGACACTGGATGAACTCTCGGTCTGGCTCTGCCACTGACTTACTCTGCTGATGGGCAACATCCTTCCCCTCTCTGGTCTTCCGTCTGTCCGTCTGTCTGTGAAATGGGAAGGATGGGCTGTAGGGTCTCCCTGAGGTTCCTTTCAGCTGTAACATTTTCTGTTTGGCCTCTCTCCCACGCCCAGGTGGGCACTTCAGATCAGCTACAGCTTCTCTAGATCCAGCTCAAATGTGTTGTGAGCACACTTTCATATACATTATCTAACTGTGCTCTGGAAATCTCAGGAAGGTAGGCGTTAGCATCCCCATTCTGCAGATTACAACACAGAGGCTCAGAGAAGTTGAGGGTGTTCACTGAGCTCACAGAGAGAGCCCGGAGGTTACATTACTGAGAATCAGTCTCAACCCCGGCTCTGGCTTCCAAGGGGCTGAGGACAGATGCTGTGAGCCCCATGGCAACTCAGCTTCCTCCATCCCTGTCTCCCTGCCTTCCCTGGGCGCTCAGCTCTGGGCTCTGGAGTTGGCGACTGAGGGATGGAGGTGGGCTCCAGCGGGGGCTGGGGCTGGGGGCCACTGCGAGGTACAGGTGGGCTTCGGCTGGCAAGGGTTGGCAAGGTTCTGGAAGGCTGGTGTGGGCAGGTTATCAAGGCCTGAGAGCAGCATTTCTGGCCCAGCCAGGGTCTGGCTCTCTCTGGTCAGTCCTCTAGGCCCCACTGAGCCAAAGGAGCTGCCTGCTCTTTGCTCTGCTTTGCTGGCTGGGAGCCTCTCCCTGCCCTGTGTCCTGCCGTCCCCAGAGATCCACCGCCAAATATTCCAGTCCCCAGAACTCATCCCCCAACCTTCACCAGACAAGGGTAGGGAAGGCAGAGCTGGGCTCAGACCTGTCTTGACAAGGAGGTGGCCAACTTCAGGCACGGCTTCCCGTCCGGCCAATTCCAACACCACCAGTCTGCACGCAGCAGCCTCTGAGATCTCAGTTGTCTTTTCGGAAACCCTAAGCCTCGATCGCCGGGTATGACACCGGGCAAGTGAAATCTCTCTGTGGGCCTCAGCGTCCTCCTCCAGGCAGTAACCGGCTGGTTGTCCCCTCCCAGGCCACGGATCTCAGGTCCCTTCCAGCCATGACATTTTAGGGTCCACTATCTTTGACTTTCCTTTCCCAGAGGCATGGAGACTGACCAGATGCCTTTGCAGAGCGCACCAGTCTTAAACATCGCTCTCCCTCTCAGTCCCTCCTCCCTCCCTCCACGCCAGAGGCGCACCCCCACCCCGCCCTGGCCCCTGGCCCTGAGCCCCGCAGCTCCAGAGACGCGAGGGCAGCGCAGTTGGCCGCGACTGCGGCGGTGGCGGAGGTGCAGGGGGCGGGGGAGGAGAGCAGCGCCCGCCTGTCCCGCGGCCTCCGCAGCAGCCCGGGCCCTGGCCTCCGCGCGCCAGAGGGGTCCCTGGAACGCCTCGGTCTGGTGCTCGGGCCTCGGGCCCGCTGGGAGACCACCGCCGCTCCATGGCACCCAGCCGACCCCTGCGGCCTCGCATCCCCCAACTTGGCCGAGCGAGCAGCCTCTCCTCCACTCCCGGTGGCGGCGGTGGCGGCGGCGGGGCAGGGGGCCGGCGCTCGGATGCCTCTGTTGCGCCCTGCCCGGGCGGGGGGCTGTCTGAGGCCGAGGGGGTCCCGGGGTGGGAGTGGGGGGGGAAGCACCATTTTTGGCTGGATGTGGGTCCGCACTCCTAGTCTCTGTCTGGTCCTCTGGACCCCCATCTCCTCCCGCACCCCGTTGCTCTCGGCACCTCCGCGTCTGGGCGCCTGCGTCCCCGCCTCCCACGGAGCTCGCCGGGTGAAGGGCAGCCGCAGCCCGCAGTCCCTGCCCCCTCTGCCCACCGCGGGGTCACCCGCCCGCCTGAGCCAAGCCTCCTCTCGCGCCGAGGGAGCCGACAGTGGGGGGACCAAAGTTCGGGCACCATCGGCCGGCGGAAGGCCCCGGGGTGCCGAGGGCCGCGGCCGGGGCGCTGGGAGGTCAGACGCGGCGCTGGCCTCACCTGTTTCTCCAGCGGCTCCTTGGCCGAGAGCGCAGGCTTGGGGGAGGGCGCTCGGTCGCAGACGCAGCCCTCCAGCAGGTAGAGCCCCGAGGGCCGCGAGCTCGAATCGCTCTCGAAGTAGAAGAGCAGGTTCTGCAGCAGCGCGAACCACTTGGTTTGCCATTTTGTGTTGTCCGAACTCCGCTTGCTCAGGTAGCCTTTGCGCGTGCCGTCCTTGCGCGCCAGCAGTCCCAGAGACGCGACGTGGCCATCGTTCAGCCGGATCCCCTTCTGCATGGTGCTCGGAGGCCAGCTAGACCCCACGCGCTTACATCTTCTCCGCGCGGCACCCGGCAAACCCTGTCCGTGCGCGCGGCGCGCTGCCTCTCTCTGGCTCTCGCTTGCTCGCTCGCTTCTGGTCGCTCTCCCCTCCCCCCAAATATCTACACTCCGGGACCTGGCGCCGAGCCGCGGCTTCTGGAAGCGAGATGTACCATTCCCTGCCGGAACCCCTTCTCCGCTCCTCAGCGCCCCGGAGCCCAGGAGATGCCGCGCGACCCTCCCCCGGCGCCGGGCAAACTGAGGGACTGGCGAGCTGCGCGCGGGCGAGGGGCAGGCGGAGTCAGGTGACGCCGATCCCTCGAAGAGCCGGTTTCAGCAGCGCGGACAGAGACACGCACGCAGCCCGCCGCGGCGCAGAGCGGCGCGCAGGCTGCACCTTGGCGCCACCTCCCCCTCCCCGGACGCACACACACGCACACGCACGGACACAAATCCTGCCCCTCTACCCCGGTCTCCCCTGCTTCCCTTCGGGTGGTAAAAACCAAATCAGATCAATGTTCGTTTAAGCCCATGGCACCGCGGAGGCTCGCCATCCTGGGAGTTTGCGTCTTTGCGCCCCACCGCGGCGCACTGTAGTCCCGGGGTGAAGTCCCAGTTGTCATTTTCTCTTCCAAAGGTCCCCTCCCGGTACTTTATTTTTCTAATCCGAGGTGGATGGAAGAGGGGGGTTGGCGAAATAGATCCGAAAGAGCTTTCGGTCCTATTCTTTGCGTAATTGGCCGGGCCACATTCATTTCAGCGTCCAGCCGCACTCCCGGTGGCTTCCCCAGCGACCTGAGGGGGTAGCACAGGGGTTGAGATGGGGGAGGGTTAGGTGAGCGCTTATTTTATTTCATTTTATTTTATTTTGAGTGTTGCCATAATTACTGGGGCACCCCTTGCGCCCCGAGGTCTGGCTGGCGAGCCGCTGCCGGGAGTTTTCTGCAAATACCCCCCAAAGCCTAAAGGCGGGCTTCAAACGCAGGCGCCAGGGACCATGGGAGCCTTCAAATAGCTGCTCTGGCGCAATGATACCTTAATGATAGATTTTCCGTTCTTATTTTTAGCTCCCGTTCGCCTACACAGTTACACGGCATTTATCCGAGAACGTCACAGCGCCCGCATGCTGCACCGGGAGGGCGCGCGGGCCTCCGGGCGAGCCGGGGCGCGGGAGGGGGAGCGCGCACAGCCGTCTGCCGCAGAGAGCACCACCCCGCGTGCAGCAGCGAAGGGCGGCCGCGCAGCCCTGGAGAGAGAGGAAGGAAGGAAGGAAGGAAGGAAGGAAGGAAGGAAGGAAGGAAGGAGGGAAGGAAGGAAGGACGGACACCATCTTTCAGCAGCGAACCTGCGGGCACCTCTCCCCCGGCGCGCGCGCGCGCACACTCTCTCTCTCTCACACACACACACACACACACACGCGCGCGCACACACACACACGCACGCACACACATACACCCTGGTCTGGCGCAAGGAAAGGGAATCACGTAGTCCTGGGTAGGCCCGCGGAATCCACGAAGAGAAGCCACCTGCCGTGGAGGAGTTGGAGCGGCCCCAGCCCTGGGCACAGTGGCGCAGGCCTGTGTTCCTCTGGTGGGGAGCGCGCTGGGGAGGGACTGTGTTCACCTTAACCTGCCCTCTCAGTGCCCAGGCTCCGGGTGCGGGGACTCAACGTAAGGAACCAGTGAGACTGATTTTCCTTCTAGAATAACGAAAACAAAGTGGGAAGATGGCTAAGCCTCTACATTCAGCCTGCGTTGTCCCCAGAGGGACCCTACACTGTGACCACCTTTACTTCCTGTCCGCCCTCTTTATGGAAGCAGAGTTTCCAGGAGTGAGGTTCTTCACCGAAACTCTGGTATTAGGCAGGATACAGAGGCTGCTAACGCTTCGGGGCAGGGGCTCTCTTGTGAGTGCTCTAGGTCAGTGAAGTCATTCCACCCCTGCACAACCCAGCGCAGGAGGCTAGCCCCAACCCACCAGCTCCATTGTGCAGGTGGGGGAAAATGAGGCACGGAGGGTCTGAGGGACTTGCCCAGAAGTGGCAGAGGTGGTGTTTGAGCTGGGTAGTGTGTTCCCAGGGTCTGTGTACAGCTGAGTGGGTGGTCCCTGGGTTGGGGGGGCTCTTATCCTAAAAGGGGGCAGGATCTCTTGGGTGCGTCAGAGCCCAGGCTGGGCCTGCATGGCCGCCGCTGTGACAGAGAGACCCATGGTACCTGAATTTGAACCTGGACTGCCCCTCGGAATCACCTGGGAATGTTTGACAAGCCCGTGTCACAACAGGCCATGAGCGGGCTGTATATTTTCATGTGCAGCAAAGTTGGGGAACCATGAGTATCCGGCAGAACCTGTGACCCTGTCATATGCTCGTGGATCACCGGGGGTCTCGTTAGGCTGCAGATTCCCCTTGCCGGCAGGGTCTGAGGTGCCTTTGCACAAGCTCCCTGCTGATGGGCCTTGCTCCACTGTGCTCTCCAGCTCTGGAGAATTTAGAGCACTCGGGAGGTGGGAGGAGATGGGATGTGTTCATTCATTCATTCATTCATTCATTCATTCACACATTCCTGCCCACCCAGTGTTCATTGGGCCCTTAGTCTGTGCCAGGCCTTGGGCTGGGCCACTGGGGACATAGCAATAAACAAAGCACAGTCTCTGCTTTGTGGAGTGTAGGCCTTTCCCACAGGAGGAAAACCATCTTCCCCTGAGTTTGGGGAACAGGTGTCTGTAGATAAGGAAACAGGAAGGAGAATTAAGGAGTATTTTGGGGAGTTGATCGCCGCACTTAGAAGTGGCCAGCCAATCTTGCTAAGTCCTCACAGGGGGCATTCCCACCAGGCTTTGCACAAACTTAGCTTGGGTGGTGGTCTGTGGGTCTGACTGGCCTTTAGGCCTGGGTCTGGGAAGACACCTGGATGTGTGTGTGTGTCACCTGCTGAGCAGGGCAGTGTATACACAGGAGACCTCTGTGTGCTGTGGGAGAACAGGTGTCACATTCAGAGAAACTTGGCTCTTTTGACAGTATGTTAAAAAAAAACATGTAACTTTCACATCACCTAAAAAAACGAAGAATTAAGTATGTGGAGTCAGAAGTGTTTTTGGAAATGGAGGTTTGCCCAGGAGGGTTTGCTGCTCCAGCCTGGGCTCAGAGGGTCAGCTCCGTCAGCCACTCCCCACCCCGCCCTCTGCGTGCAGACACCGCGGGTTTGCACCGCGACTTCCCAGCCAATGAAAATAACCATGTTATTCTGATGGTAAGTGTAATAAGGCTCTTCGTAAAAATTAGCATAAAATAGAAAATAAAAGCATAACTCCTTCTATATGTATGTACATATACATACATATATATATATTTGGTATCTAATCTTCTTGACTTTTATTCGATGCTAATCTGTTTACCAAAATGGGCTTCATGCAACGCAGGCTATCTGAAATCTCACTCCGGCTCGCTTCACTTAGCGGTGTGTGGGACCATGTCCTCATATTACTGCAAATTTGATGACTAGATTTTTCATGGTTGGGCATCTAGGTTGTTTTCCGATTCATAGTTTTGGGGAATAACACTGCACTAAATATCTTTGTGTACACACTTCCCTCCCTTGAGCTGAATTCCTGAAAGTGGCCTTTCTAGGTTAAGCAGTGTGCATATGAAACATGGGTACATATTACGCTAGATTTCCAGAGAGGTCTTCTACTCTGTGTGTGGCTGTCACGGGGGGACAAGCCGCCCACTTCACCCACTGGTCATGCCTGGATATTGAGAGTCTCCACCTCTTGAGCATTGCCTGTTTGGGAAGGGCAAAATGATATCCCCTTCTTGTATTAATTTGCACTTCTTTTATTGCTTGAGAGATTAGACATTTTTAAATGCTTATGATCTTTTGCATTCCTTCTTTTGTGTTTCCTATTAACACCTTTTTTCAGATGTGTTAATATTTTTCTTGTAGATTTGTCACCGTGTTTCATACATGAGGGATATTCGCCATCGGCCATCATGCACCTTGCGAATAATTTCCACGGTCTGTTCTTGTCTTTAATCCTGCTTGTATCTACTATGCCTAAATACCATGCATGTCTTTATAGGGGTTGTAAGAACGTTTACAATTTGAACTGTAGACAAATCTTTTTCCTTATGGTTTCTGACTTTGGACTTCCCCGACCTCCCCCGATCTGTGTCCCAGCTCCTTCAAGATTGAAACATACTTGCCCATACTTTCTTCTCTGTTTTTATATTTCATTTTCCATGCATAATTTTAATTTGGAGTTTGTTTTTGAGAGTGAGGCTGGGATCTGGCTCATTATTAATTTTTCCTAATTTCCTAAGTTGTCCCAAAACCACTGGTTTGAATAATCTAAGTTCTACCACTGATGTGAGTAGCATCTTCATCGTACACCAAATTCTTAACTATACTTGGGACAGTTTCAGATGCTAGTTTTTGTTCTCTTGTTTTGTCTGTCTGGTTTTATGCCAGCGACACGTGACTTTATATCTTACTGCTCTCATACCCACTTTGAGACCTGGTAGAACAAGACCACCCCCATCACTTCATATTTTTAAAGTGTTCCTAAATATCTTTGGCATTTATTCTCCAAGATTAATTCATTACATGTCAATTACATCTGAATAGAAAAAGGTTATTTCATTATTCATTTTATCAAGTTCCAGAGAAGACTCATTGAGGTTTTTACAGGAATTATATTGAAAATATTAATTTAGGAAGAATTAATATTTTATGATATTTTTGTCTTCTTATTCAAGAAAAGAGTGCATCACTCCAATTTTTGTCCTTCAAATTTTTCTGACAGAATTATAGACATTTCTTTATATTTGTCTTGTACATTTCCTGTTTAATTTATTTCTGAGTACTACATTTTGTCGTTTCTAATAAAAATATGGTATTTTTCTATTTTTAAAAAACAGACATTATTAGTATATAAGAAAGCTATTACCATTTCTATATTTGTTTTATAAGCCACTACTA